GGAACAAGTGGCATTTTTTGGGTTGAAGTTTAAGGTTTGCTGCTTTCAAACGCTTGAATACTTCCTCTAGCTGGGACATTTCCTCATCAAATGTTGTTGTAAACACAATTACATCATCCAGGTACACTAGGGCTATCCTCCATTGTAAGCCTTCCAGTTTTAGCAATGCTCCAACAACATTTGAGAGACTGATGGAAAGAGTGCCTGAATGGCATCACACAGTATTGCCAGAGACCTTGGCCATGACTAAATGCAGTCTTAGGTTTATCTGTTTCAGCCATTTTCACTTGATCAAAACCCGACTTTAAGTCCAGAGTTGAAAACCACCTGGCTCGACTACAGTGGGTATGAGTCCTTTTCAGTTATAATGTTAAGAGCCCTGAAGTCCACACAGCAACGTTGGGTCCCATCCTTCTTCTAGACTAATACGACGGGAGCTGACCAGGGATATCTGATTTCTCAACAATCCCGTCCTTAATTAGGCCATCTCTTGTCGCTTTGCCGGAGCTATTCTCCGTGGAGGGATCTTTATTGAACGGTGATTGACTTTGATTATTCTGTGTTCTTCAAGACGTCTGCATAATTCGCCAAAAGTTCCCTAACCTGAAGAGCCTGTGATGATGACAAATAGACTATGCTCTTCTTATAGAGGTCAGTTAAATGTTCTGGGAGAGGATATCCTTTCTTTATGGGTGTACTTCTTGCCTTAACAATGACCGGCTCTACCTCCTGGCACACAACCAGCAATGCCCCTTCCTTAAGTGTTTGCTCATATTTAGAAAAATTAGCCACTGTTATGGGTACTACTTGATGACCTGCCACAAGTGACCTTCCAATCATCATGTCTGCTGGCCTGGATGAGTCTTCCACTGCTTCCAGAAGCATCGGGCGTCTTTGGAGATGTTCTTTTATTCTACCCCAAATTGTCTTCTCTGACATAGGGGGTATTGTAGTTGATTTAAATGTTGTGACATGCAAATCAACAGAAGCAGCAACACTTACCGGAATTTGGCCTTTGTTATTCCCAAACATCATTTTATGAAAATTAACTACACACTTCCTCGGTAGTAAGTAGTCCAACCCTAGTATGCATTGTTCTTCAATGTCAGCCAAGTATACTTTGTGTCTGTCCTTCATGCCCATGAGCTCAATAGTTACCCACACTGGTCCCCACAACCTTGCATAATGTCCTGCCACACCACAGAGCTTCTGTACAGCTTCTGGTACTCCTTTGTGATCCAACACCTTGATGCTCACAAGGGTTTGCTGAGACGCAGAATCTATGACAAAGTTGCACTTTTGGCCATCCAGCTTTCTTGTCACGTAGACACTATGTGTGTTTGCCATTTTACACTTAGCTGTTGGGACTTTCACAATGGGGTTTGGTGGGCGTCTTTCAACACCAACCACTACTGGTTTCCCTGAGGTTGACTTATTGGTAGTATTATTCTTACACTGACTCGTCATATTTCCTTGCTCTCCACAGTTCCAACAACCTTTCTGTGTAGCAGCCTTTCCTGCCGTGTCATCTTCCCTGTGTTGAAGTTACCAGCATTGAGCTCTCTTGTGCCCCGGCTTCTTACAGTGCCAGCAAAGTCCCTCAAACTTCTCTGAAAGCTGCCCTTTTTTGGCCTTGAATCCTGATGACTATACTTAATGTAGGATTTGAATTCAAGAGCTCTGGCCATTGCATCCTGTATAGTACAGGGGTATACTTACTTTACTTGTATCTTCAGTTGTGGGCTGTCCAAGGAGTCTAAAAACTGAACCCTCAGCAGCAGCTTGAGAACATCAGGTGGGTAGGT